AATAATAATATCAGAAATGGTCACTAGGGGGAACCAGAGAGTTTTCCTCCCACATTATCTTAGCCTCCTAGTAAGGGCAACACAACCGTGGGGGACCCAAACAATATCTTTTGGGCCATCGAAATAACACAAAGGTCGGGAGAATATGAGTGCCGAGAAGTAATGGGTAATGCAGACAGTTCTTTTTAGAAAGTAACTTTGCCAGCAGAGCTTGGCCGGTTTAGAGGATGGCACAGGCAGGTAAATGTAAATATATATGCAGAGCATCTTGTAATATTTTCCTCTGGGACTGACTGGGTGCTTAGTTATTAAATGCATTTTAAATTTGCGCGGTTTCCTCCCTTCCCTTTATATTCTTGCTTTTCTATTAAAGATCTACTTACTTTCTACTCGGCCTTCAGTTTATCGAAGGCAAGGCACAGCCTATAGTAATGAGTGATGATCCATGAATCAATGCCCCGTAAAATCTGGTGGTTGTTTTTTTTTTAAAGCCACTTGCCAATAAATATGAAATTGTATCGGAGACAAAGCCCCCTCAAAAAATGGTCCGTTGCCACGGCAACCACAAATATCAGGTTTGAGTTGCTGGGCCCCGTTGCCACGGCGACGCGATTCCTTTTATTTGATCTTTATTTCTGCCTGAGAGATGGGCCTGAGAAGCCGAAGGTGGAAAACCGAGATGGGGGGGAATCTTTATCGGGGGACAGGAAGATGATGATATGAAAACATGGTTCAAAAAACCCTTTTTTTGGGGGGGGGGAATCTGATACATCTCTCTTTTAGGAAATTCCTCCCCCCCCCTCCTGGTGTGGCTACCTGGAAAAAATCTAGCTTGATTTTATTTTTCCTGTTGGGGGGAGGAATTTGATTTCTGGGCTGACACTGGAATGATCCCTTTTGAAACCTGTGTTTATTTCAAAAAACATGTGAGTTTCTTGGGACAAACCTGTCCAAGAAGCCTGTGACACTCCGAAATCTAGCAAATTCTAGCCGGTATGAGCTTTCGTGGTTTCCGTCTTGCCTCTTTGAGGCACATAGGTTAAAAAAAAAACAGAGTAAGGCAACAGGTGAACAGTGATTCCATCAAACCATAAATCATCTTCTGATAGCCAATTCCAAGGTACGCCTAAGTAAGTTAGGCATTATTTATCTATTTAAAATAGTTTTACCCCGCCTTTCGCTTAAAAACAGACCCAAGGTGGCTTATTTAAAACAAAACCACAGGATTAAAAAGCCAAAACCAATAAATCATTACAGCATTTTAAGAAATGTCATGTTAGAAACTCATGGATAGAAGAGGTCCTAAAACACATTTTAAAAACCATGGAATCAAGCTCTTTTCTAGGTGTAATGAGTAAAAAAAAAAAAAAAGAACTTGATGACTATTAATTACTTTACTCATGACCCCAAAAGTAACTAGTTACAGGTAACTTCATTGCTTAGAACTGGGTGCTTTCAGGCTCTACCCAAGAGGGAGTAAACCCCAAGGTTTGTAAGAATGGCTGAAATTATTCCAACTGGTGGGTAGGAGGAAAGGAACGGAAGCTGCCGGAAATGCTCAATCAAAAGGCTGTGGCGGGCTACAACCTTGAGCAGGAACGCCCCCTACTGCAGTGTTTTGATCCTATACACCTTGAAACATTTGGCTCACAAACCTTTCTATAGAAGAAATTTGCAGAATTAGAGCCTCGCGGATGGTTTTTCCAGCACAACATTTTGCTAATTTCAAGCCTTTGTCTCTCTTTCTCCAGATGGCCCGGCCGATCCAAGTGAAGCCCGCGGACAGCGAAAGCCGTGGAGGTAGTTGTCATCTCTCCTTGATGGCGTGGTC